TGTTGCTTGGAAACACTTCATACAGTACATGTTGAATTCAATCTTGATGGGGTTTATTTTCCACACAAACTCACAATTACGGCTTGACGTTTATCTACTTTAGAGTCGGGTTTCGAAAAAGAGAGTTTTTATTAGTGGAAAATGTCTTAGTTTGGGATGGAAGGCTAATCTGCAAATACACACACACACACACACACACACACACACACACACACACACACACACACACACACACACACACACACACACACACACACACACACACACACACACACACACACACACAACCACAACCATCCATATTTAAATCAGACAGCAGCTTGTGTCTCCATCCAGAGAGCACCTGTAAATAATGCAGTGTTAAAGGTGGCAGCCAGGAGAGAATTAGAGGGCGAACAGGTGGAGATGGGACCCCTCCAACTCCACCCCCCCCACACACACACACTCTCTCTTCCTCCCGTGCACCCACCCACCACGACACACACTCCGATGCCAAGTCTCTGAGTCCTCCGCAGTGTGAACACCACAGGTGCTGAGCCGCAGCGGGCCCTGGGGGGCCGCCGGCCTTTCCTCTCGCCATACTCAAAGCAGTGATGGGCAATAAAAACACTTCACACCTTAAGTGAAAGATACGACTTTAAATATTTTACACACATTCTGCATATGCAATTTATCCACACCTGGCTCTTAGCAGCAACAACATCTGCTAGCTGTTGCTTTAGAGGCAATTAATTTCTCATCCGAGCGGCCAGGGTCCTCTCGGAGAATCTGGGAGAAGGACTTATGGTTTCCTTACTGTAGATGAGCACAAATGTAAAGATTACAATGCAGTTAGGACTCGGTTCCCACGGGACAAACCAAACTAAACTTTTGGCATTAACATTTAGTTTTACAGCAGAAAGTGTTACACTGTGTCATTCAAATGTATACATATATACATAACTTGTCTTTTAATATCTTATTCGAATTCATTTCTTTACATTTAGAGGGTACAATGAAGCAAAGGAAGTGTCTTGGTGGATGTGGCTCAGTGGGATAGTGCACCGATCGTCGAATCAAGGGAGAGCAAGTTGGAGTCCCACTGCAGTCAGCATGTCGTTGTGTCCATGGGTTAGAGACACTTCACCCCAAATTGCTCCCGTTGGGATGCCCACATACTCGCTTTGGATAAAAGCGTCTAACAAGTGACGTGTAATGTCAGGTCTTACTGTATCTGAGTGCTATTGCATATAAACACATCAGAATGTTTTCATACCTGTTACTTAATTGTATGTTAACATGTTTCAAGTGCACTTTAAAAAAATGTAATTTGGATTTATTTTTCTAAATGTTAAGGATTAATGAAAAAAATGAATTTCCTTACCATTTCTTATAAGAGTTATTTGCATGTAAAAACACTCAGACATCAGAAAGTGTTACAATGTGTCATGTATACATATTTAAAAGTAAACAAATAAAAAAATCAATCTAATTTGAAATAATTTCTCTACGTTTTAAGGGTAACAGACGAAGGATTTGTCTTACAATACTTATCTATAGATATATATATATATATATATATAAGTATTGCTGCATACACCGAAGACAACAAGTGTTTTCATGTAAATGTTAGCATACATGTCGATGTATTTGTATCTAATTCATTCTAAATATTCATTACTCTACACAATATGGAGAAAAGGGAAGTCTCTTACTGTGTGAAACATGAGTTTTATTTCACAAAAACATTATTATAAGTCGAGCAAATATGAATTATTTTATCTTTTTGCTGGCTTCTTGAATTGATAACATCTATGGATGCCTGCACACACTGATTCAAAAAAAGTGAGTGACAACAATGACAGCAGACAGAAATGCTGATTTTGTGTCCTGACATCGTTAAAGCCAGAAGCATTTGTGTCCCCTTTACAGATGAATTGGGCAGAAAGCTAAATCTGTGTGTGAATGTCATTTTGGACGGGCATTTGTCCGGGGAAACAAGACGGATCTGGGTAATGATGAGAAACAATTGTCTAAGCCTGCAGAGAAAAACTTTTGATTATCAGATCGCTCACAGTGACTGAGTAACTGCTGAGTTAATACTTTTGGCTATAAACATTTAGGTTGATTACACTACTTTGACTTCATCAGAAACTGACCTTTGAAGACAGTAAATACGACTGGTTATCATGATGGAGTTAAAACAACACCTAAGTAGTATATTGAGTTAGGACTGATTGGCTTAAAAGCATTTATTCTCCGCTCTTTTTCATCTGTAGTGCCGGAAATCACTGCCTTCCTGTTGTCTTAATGACCTTAGACATTTACCTCCCCTCCGCACTGATAGGATTCCTTTGTTTAGTGCTGTCTTTTCCCATGGCAATGAAAGTAGGTGAGAAACTGTCCTGCATTCTCATAGTGGGACACCATATCAGTTTCTAAAAACAGTTGCCTCTCTCTCTAGTTTCATTCAAGCAAACAGTCGTGGGAAGTAAATAAAGTACATTTACACAAGTCTTAATCATGTTTTGACATATTTGTACTTTATACTTCTACTCCAGTACATTTCAGAGGCAAATATTGTACTTTTAACTCCACTACATGTATTAAAACTCACACTTGCTTTATATAAAAACACACAATATGCTATTATTTTGTATTACACACAGTTTGTGGTGAATTTTGGGGGGATTTCAGGGTTGATTGTTTAATAAATGCCAATAAATAAATGGCATTCATCTGGGGAGATCTGCTTTTTTAAGTCACTTTGAAAAACCTAATTGTTTAAGAAATGCTTTTATAAGATTTTATTTATGTTTTATTATTTCCTATTTGTTTTAATATGTATTTAATGTGTTTAGACGCTCTTGTTCGGGTATTTTTTTCTTATTTTTTGGACTAACTATGTTTAAAAGGTGCTATGTAATTATAATTATTTGAATATTTTTGTTTCTTTGTCTTAACATCCATAAATCAAATCAATAAATCTTTATTTAAAAAATGTTATACAACGATTAAAACCATATAACAACACAAGTAGTACATTAGCTAGCTTACCCTAGTTAAGCTAACTTGGTGAACCCTTCCATGAATCTGTCCTCATCTAACATGTCATAAAAAGACCTATGAAATATATTCTTATATATTGCTATACGGCTGTCTTTTCCCATGGGAAGTAAGTGATAACTGTCCTGCATTCTCAAAGTGGGACACCATCATGTGTTTACTATGACCATACAGCCTGTGTCTGCTGCATGGATGTGAGAACCACAGCAGTGAAATGTTGACAAGGATATAAAAGAACAAAACAGTCCTCTGTCAGTGGGAAAGAAGAGGGAAGTCAGACAGGGAAGTGTTTCTGTTTTGAGAGGATTTTACAGTTTAAGGTCAAGGAGTAAAAGGTGTTGTTTAGGATCAAGATGTACATTATGGAAACTCTGGGTTAAAATGTACTTCCTGTCTTCTATTTGTTTGGGTTTCCCTTCTGTTTGTGTGAAAGGAGAGCGTTGCAGGTGAGGTTAAACCACTGTAATCCTGTTTCCTGTCAGTGTGTGGAGGGCGGGGTTAAGGTGTTAGATGGACACTGGTTGTGCTGGCTGTTTATCATAAACACAGCCTAGCCCAGAGAGGTCCATCTGCTTTGATTTTATTTAGTGATTCCCCCCAGGGGCCCTGAGCTGGAGCGGGAATAACAATACTGGAGCCCATCTGTTCCTGTAGAACCAGCCCCGGCTAAATTACCACACGCTACGAGCGGCTGGCATATGCTGTGGCATAAAGCTACAAGAGGGCATTGTGTGCCAGCTGTTCTGTTGACAAATACTTATCAGGCACTTCTGAAGTCAGCTTGCTAAGCTGGTTTCAAGTTTGACTGAAAACTAAACGGGGTAAGGTGTGGAGCGGGGTTCCTGTGGGGCAGACGCATGTATAACACACACCGATTTATCTGTCGTTGTCATGAGATTGTCTGGGGAATTGGGTCACTGTGTGTGGATGTAATCTGGACATATAGGCCAGATACCAAGTGGTCACAACAGACCGCGGTAATCTTGCTTCCTGTAAGCATAACAGACTGTGATCATATTGTTGTGTTTATAAGTCAGAGGATGATCGCCGTGTCAGGAGCATAAATTGGGCTCGATCATGGTAATCCTCTCAGGAAACAATAAGATGGATAACACACAGATAAACACTGACAATCACACCAAAAAGCCAGGTTTACAGGGACTTACTTCTAAAGCCACTGTGAACTCAGGAATAAGAACTACTGTATATGATAATAATAATAATAATATTTAAATAACGTTTGTTGTAATCATTTCGGACACAGAATACTTTAGCTTTCTTTGACTTACTAGACTCTGACTTTATGAGTTCTTATTTTAATCAGATACTTTTGACATAGTATCATGTCACTTTTTTTTCGACATACTATACTATAGCCAGGGTGGGGTGTGGCGTAGTGGACTAGTGCGTTGGTGTTCGGATCAGGGGAGCACAGGTTCAAACCCCACTGCAGTCAGCATGTCGTTGTGTCCCTGAGACACTTCACCCCAAATTGCTCCTGTGGGGATTGCCCACAGTATTGAGTATGTAAGTCACTTTGGATAAAAGCGTCTAACAAGTAACATGTAATAATGTAATAGCCTTTTATCTGATATTTTTGACACATTACTTTTTCACATAGCTTAATATTGCTTTTTTTCCAACAGACTATACTGTGTTGTTTTTCTCTGATCTTACATATCTTTTCGTCTCATATTTATTTCTTATCCTTTGAGGTTACAGGTAACCTCATTGAGAACAGGCTCCTTTTATCAGACCTGTGAGTTAATGTTAAAGCAATATTATATATGAATACTGCATGTAGAAGTAGTATGCTTAGCATCACACAACAAAGGCAGTTTCTAAGTGACTTTCTCTCTGGTGCCTCTAACCCTCAAGTCTCAGCATTGTGTTATTTCAAATGAATGTATGAATTTCTCAACATTTCTCTCTTTCATCACACCACTCACAACGTGCACCCTTCAAAACGGGCTTTATTTTGTTAACATTTACAGGAACATCACTGACATTAATTTTCCACCCGTTACATATGTATATACTGTACAGATGCAACAGAAAAAGGAAATCAAAAATCCAGAGGCTCCAGTCAGAGACGAGCTTCAGCTAGAAGGAGTTCACACAGGAAGTCCCGACAGTGGAGACGACCACAGAGCAAAATGGAAGTGTCAGCTGGAACCTCATTTATAAAAAAAAAAACGCCCGTATACTTCACACTTTTGTTTTATACTCACAACTACTTCAATTTTCAAGTTGTGATTTGGAAAAATATATATAATGCTGATGCCAACATGTGCAGTTTCTTGGTTCAATCCAATGGTGTGTGATATATAAAAACAACTACTTCTCAATCCATGGTATGCTTTAGGTACTTTTAAATTGGATTACAATGGAATATGTAAATGTTTCTTTAAATACTTATATATATTGTGCACAAGGGTTACCAGCCTTGTGCGTCATCATTTCAATCCTTTGTTAACTTTACACTGTTCAACATGTTACTATTAACATTCAGTAGTTGCTATGAGAAAACTACAATAACTCATTATACTGTGAAAAGGGACAAGCAGTACCCAAAAGCAGTATCATCAACCCTGTTTCATTTCCTTAAAAAAGGGATAACACACAGGTTTATATTAGGATTAGAATATAATAAATAATATTGTTTAGTTATCTGGTGCACGGCTGGAAACATTGCATGTCACATCTTCATGGAAGGCAGCAAAAGTCAATACTTGCCATGATGGGCAAAAGAAAAAAAGGCTTTGTAAACATAAAATATAATTTATATTTAGTCATCAACACAATGAGTCAGACACTTAAAAACACTGCATGTGAAATTCCTCACATCACACTCCCTTAATTGAAAGAAAACAGCCAGGCTTTTTTCCAGGACTTCACCTCATTGACCCTATGAATGCATGGAGTGCTCTACAACGGCAGCCATTGTACAAGTCTCCCTTCATGCATTTATCTGGCATCTCCTCGCCATTTGAAATGCAGAGCGCTCTTTACCGAGGGAGAAGCACATTTGTATTCTGTAACACAAAACTCTGATGTCTCCCGACCAACAAATTAGCACTCACTGTGACTTCCAATGGGAGGAAAAAAAGAAAATGTTTCCTGATAGGTCCACTTGGGGATGGAGCAAAAAGTGCAGCATTGTTAGAGCGAGATGTGCAGTACGACACTTCTACAATGGCTACTGTTATCTGTAAAGACATTTACACAGCATGATTAGGGGGGGGGGGATATGCAAACTCTGATCTTAATGCACAGTAGGTGGACGTCTATAGTGCTGATGGTACTACCTCAGGAAATCTATGCTACTAAGAGAAGTCTTTTGAGAAGAGTTGGATGAGGCTTTGCGTACTGCATGATGTGGAAAAGCTCCCGTGTTCGACAGTGATTAAGAATAGCACGACTCCTCTTGTCTTAAGGTAAATGAGGTGGAGGAGGTCATCCCACGAGCTCGTCTTGTTTTCGTTGCACGTGTTTTGTCAGTCGCGGCAACGCAAGCATGCCCAGTGCGTCTTCATAAGGCCTCGCTCCATCTTCCACCACCGACGCTCAGCAGGGAGACACAGGGAAGCTACATATGAAGAACACAACACTTCAACTAATGCACAGTGCAAATAGGCTTCTCCCCCCCCTCCCCCCCTCTCGCTTTCATCTCTCCCACCTCCAGAGAGGAGAGCTGGGCTGGAGAGGGTTCCCTTTTTTAGTCTTTCTGGGAATCTCCTGCCCTTGGGGAGGCGGGAGGTGGTGTGGGTGGGGGGGAGGGGGGCGATGGTGGAGGGTTTGGGGGGAGAGGTTTTCTACTTGTACAGGCTCATGGTGGGGCTCTGGTACATGCACATGTAGGCGTCGCAGAGCAGGCGGCGGGCCTGGCCCACGATGCTCTTGGGGTCCAGGGAGTGCAGCTCCTCGGGGCTCATCTTCAGGTACGCCTCCACCTCGGGGCAGGGGGACACCTGCGGGATGTTGAAGCCGTTCTGCCCTCCTGCAGAGACACGAGCACGGTCATTAGATACCATGTGATCATCTGTAACTCTAAGTGAAAAACTATGTGAAAAGGATTTAATGCGCAAATCAAACAGAGATTGCCAATGATGGTTATGAATGCAATATATATATTTTTTTGTTTTGAATAAACTCCTTTTTCCAGCAATCATTAGTTTGTTTTCATGATGATTACCCGCCTTATTTTTAGGGAAATAAAAACAGCAATTAGAAAAGTAAAAGTATTAGTTCATGAATCTCTAAGTGATCCATCCATGAGTAACTCATTCGATAATCGAGTGGAATTCTTTTTTACATTTTATGCAAAAAATGCAAAATTCTAGTCCCAATAGGGGCGTTCACACCAAGTTCTTTTCCCACAATAGTTCACAATAGAGAACTCAGTTCATGAGAACTCTTTTAGTTCTGATGAACTAAAGCAGATTGCGTTCACACCGCAATGAGTTCCTGGGGGTGGATTAGGCAAATGAAGCCGCTGACGTCACTACTTCTTCTTCTTCTTCTGCTTTGGGTTTACTGGCAGGCCGCAAACCACTTCACGGCGTATACTGCCACCCGGAGGCCCCGGCCGGAAGTCCCCGGAGTTGGGGACTGACTTCAGTAGAAGCTGCTGGGACTCCCAGCAGCTTCTACTGAAGCCTTCCGAGTAAATCGCCAGAACGCCGACACCTCCTCATCACTCCACCGCTCCCATGTTTTCTTTTGTGTTGCCATAAGTTATTCTCTCTGCGTTTGTGCACTGGGCTAATGCTAATGCTAATAATGCTAATGCGAGGATAATAAAATGGCGGCTTCACAAAACTTTTTGGGAGTTTTACGGGGCTTGGTTTGCAATCTGCCCAGCCAATCAGACATAGGAACCTTTTTCTCCCACGAAAGTCCCTGCTCTTTAGCAGGGACGGAAAAGGGGGTAAAAATGGTTCTGATGAACTAATTTAGTTCAGGGGGCTTTTTGGTGTGAACGCAAATATATCTGAGTTCTGATGAACTATTGTGGGAAAAGTACTCCGGTGTGAACGCGCCTAATGATGAATATGGGAAATTTTTCTTTGTATTAACATGACAGAAAAAGTCACTGTCGTGTCTATTTTCTGGCATTTCACTTGTCAGACAATTACTCCAATAATTGTTAGAAATAATGTGTATTTTATTTAGGAAAATAAGCTATAACAGCAGTGGCCCTAATGTCAGATAGGAGCTACATTTCCAGTTGTAATAAATCATAAGTTATGATATCACAGGAAGAACAAATATGTTATGCAGTCTCTCAAAGTCTTAAAATGTAACACACTATGATGAATTTGGTGCTTAAATATTTCTGTGTAGTGATTCATGACTTCAGCATCTTCCTCAGCGAGGTCTTATAAAACCATCTGTGTCGCTGCGCAGTGTGAAACTCTGTCGCCACTGTAACAAAAACAATGTCCTGTACATATCCACCGGGTCTCGTTTCAGGGATTGGTTTGGTGTCATAACAACAGTTTCATCCCACAGGCCATAAGACTGTTAAACACGTGAACTTTGGAAAGAACATTCATAACATTCATCTGTTTGCAACTCATATATATATCAATATTCCAATTACTTGTATATAGACTATTCTGCACCATTTCTATTCTATTTACTTGCACTATTTTATGTTTTATTGTGTTGCACTGTTGGAGGAGGAGCCTGTGACCTAAGATGTTCATAACTACACTGTAGCTATGTACGCATGACAATAAAAGCCTTGAATCTTGAATTCATGATTCAAAGGTTTAATCCCAAAAAAAGGGATAACATGCGCGGCGTCAGAAGGCCGTGATGACACCCACCGTCGCGGTCCGCCATGCTGTCGAAGAAGAGCCAGGAGGAGTCCGCGCTGCCGTACTTGACGAAGGCCACGTAGTGACTGGTCTCGATGCACAGCACGGCGAACAGCTCCATCCTCTGGCGGGGGAACGAGCCCTGCCGCCCCGAGCCCTCCTGCAGCTCCTTGGGGACGGACAGCTTCCCGTGCCGGTGGGTTTTCCTCCTCGGGTGGAGATGGACCTGAAATCAGTAAAAAAATAAAAAAATAGCATCACACTGTTACTGTGGCGTATGAGCGGTATATGTCTAACATGTAACAGATTGAGTAGAATCACTGTAAATAGGGGGGGGGGGGGGGGGGGGGAGCATCAGACTGTTACTGTGGTGTATCAAATCAAATCAAAATTTATTATAGCCCCAAATCACAAGAAATGCCTCAAAGGGCTGTACAAAGCAAACACAATAGTCATAGCATAACGATTATTAAAACATTGTACATCAACGTAAGTATTGCCATGTGATGAAAGCATGTGACTGAAGTGATGAACAGTATATGAGCCGTATATGTCTCTCAAAACTCACTTATTCACTCTAGCTGAACTTAACTTAACTCACACTTGGATTTGGACTACTGTTTTGTTTTCTTTGTGCTGTTTCTGTTTCGTGTCAAGCGTCTTTGAGCACTGAGAAAAGCGCTATAAACATTTAATGTATTATTATTATTATAACATTTAACAGATAGAGGAGAGGAATCACTGTAAATAAAAGCTCTGAAGTACATTTGAGGCTTCATACCACCAGATGGGCTATTAAGATATAAATCAAACAATATTTCAGTATATTATTATGTGTTTATAAATCAAGGCAATGCATAAAAAATACATTAATCTCAGAAAGAGAGAAGATGCCAGATTTTTCTTTCCATCTGTAGTCCTTGGGCACAAAACAATAAAAAAAACTGTAAAAAAAATGGTGTTGTCACTAGCACACTTAAAACATATATATATATATATAAAAAATACAAAACAGATGAAAGTACGGATGTATAAAGTATTAAAACTGGCATTATAGCGGAATAATTATAATAAAACAAGTTATTTCCACTAAGAACTGTCAAATGTGTGATAAACAAGCTGCTTAATATACATTTGTTTGCACTATATTGGTAAAAGAGTGATAGTCCGTTCATGTTTTAAGATCAGTTGGAAGCATATCCGATGCTTGATGGCCGTGAATCAGAAAGCAGATTGTGTTGGCAAACATGTGTTACAACCTACTGTAGAAGCTGCAACATAACTGCTGCTCTGATTCCTTTGGATTTGGCGCCCCCAAGTGGACGATTTTAACTCACACTTAAAGGTCCACTATTATACTGTTTTTCATCAATATCTTATAGCTCTCAGATATATACAAAACATGTATCTGAAGTGATTGGCTCCAAACACCAAACAGATCATTGCAGCATCCCATAATCCCCTCTGTTTCAGCCCTGTTTCAAAAGTGCTGATTCTCTGTCTGTTACTTTAGATGAAAATAAGGAGCCCCTCCCCACGCCCCTCTGAGAGATATTTGGTTACAAAGAACACAATGGTGCTCTAGGAGGAGATTCAGGTGATAAGGTGGGGGGGGGGGGGGGTTACCTTGGTTGGTGATTGGCTAATGGTTACACAAGCCAACACATCGTTATGACATCATAAAGTGGCCAAAATCTGATCAGCTCATTTTCAGACAGGTTTTTATATAAATGGATCAGGACAAAAAGAGAGAGAATCTTTTTTCCTGAAACTTTCAGAGTCTCTTTACACAGAGGGGACACATGTTGATGTAGAAGAGACATGGAAAAGTGGATTTTGCATAATAGGTGACCTTTAAAATGTTAGCTTCAGTTGAGTTGGTGTTGCAGCAATGCCCTCTGTTGCTTACCTGCGTATTGCACTTTTCACAGAACTGTTTAATCTTTCCCGCCGTGATGTCCCCGTCCTCATAACAGTCTCGACACTCGTACAGAGCCAGGCCTCCGCAGATTCGACATTCCCTCGGAGCTGGATGACAAAGACACATTTATTCTGGCTGCACAAAAGTTCTTTAAGACACAAGAAAGAAAGAAAAGGGTTCCTTCATCTCGGGTGAGTAGCAGTGACAGCTCAGAGGGATTTCATTACCAAATGCCACGCGGCTCTGAGACACCATCGATCGGAGAAACACGTCACACTTAGACACTGGAAAAAATGATCAGCCACAACTCACTGTCTTCAAGAAGGTCTGTGATGTCTAACTCTAGAGAGGGGAAAATCTTGTTGAACATTTTGAAGTCTTTGCCAAAGCGAGGCATCTGGATGATAAGGCAGGAGGGAGCCTGAGGTCAGGAGACACAGAGAGGAGAACACTTTATTTGGACATCATCATAGTAGATTGGATATATCAGAAAAGCTCAGAGCAGAACACTATGGACTTGATGTTAAACATAGGGATGTAACGATACCAAAAACTCACGGTACGATAATATCGCGATAACAAGTCCACGGTACGATATTTATCGCAATTTTTTTTTTTTTTTTACTTGAAAAAATGTTCTTTATTAAAAAATAAATCTGATTTGTACAGCATTTTAGTAGGATAGTAGTATTTTAAAGTGTCAAAAATATAATAGTCAGACGCTGCAATTAATAAATCAAGTTTCACTTTGAGTGAGTTAGTGAGTTGAGTTACTTGAAAAACTACTCAGCATCATCAGACAGGTTATTCTTTAGGAATATGAGCATGTCCACATTTCCAGGTAGAAGCTGGGATGTTTGGGCGTTTACAATATCCCCTGCTGTGGAAAAACCTCTCTCGCTTGGTACTGATGTTGCTGGGACAGAGAGATATGCTTTGGCCATGGGTGACAGCAGTGGGTAAAACTGTGCATTGTCTCTCCACCACTTCAAAAACAATACCGTTTTTGCCAAGAAGGTGAGGCTTATTGACAGGGCGAGATATACATATACTGTTGGTACTTGTCAATGTCCTGTAAATACAATGTCCTTTTGTGTTATCTGTTGTTTTATGTTCATGATGTAACCTACTTGCTGCCATGTTGGACAGGTCTCCCTTGAAAAAGAGATCGATGGGACGACCTGGTTAAATAAAGGTTTAAACAAATAATAATAATCGCGATATTCGATACATCGTTACATCCCTAGTTAAACATATAATGGCGCGTTTCCACTACAGCGCGGAGCACGGTTTAAGAGGGCTGTGACGTCAGCGGCCCGTTTTTGCGTTTCCACTTGGCCTAGTACCGGCCGGCGGGTCCTAATTCACAGTTTTTCTGGCCTCATAAAATCGTGGGTCTAGGGCCGGAGACAACGAGGCTGAGTCGGGCTGAGTATGCTAAACTAGAGAGAGAATCGCTGGCAAGGGGGCTACAACTACAACAAGATGGACATATTTGACCGTGATTTAATTGTAATACACGTTTCAAAATGATGCCGAAGTAACAACATACTGATACCGGTTAGTAAAAACCATGAATTAATGCTTTGTCAAGTCTGCAGACAGACGGCAGGCGAAAAACCTTTTAAAATGCATGTTTTCTAAATGGAGATTGGCTAAGCTAACGCAGTATATGCTCCGACCGTCCACACTCACAACAACGGCCTATACAGACATAAATAAAGCAGCGACTGTATTCACCATGACACGGGCAGTCTGTGGTTTGTACTTGTTTAACTTTTGTCTAGTTTCTGAACATATATGAGGAGCTGTGAGCTCTGAGTGCTAACAGCTAACGGCTGTGTTGTTTTTCTGGGGTTCTCTGAAGATGACGTCACGGCTCCGCCTACACTGCGTTACTATAGATACTACCCCAGTTCCTAAACTGTAATGGAAATGCGCCATAAAGTGAGCCAGTCCTAACGAGGCCTAGCCATACCGAGCGAGGCCGAGCGAGGCCGTGTAGTGGAAATGCGCCATAACAGACCTTACCAATTAAGTCTGTTAGAGTATGATAAAAATGTGCTTGAATTTTAAGCAATGTTACATGTATGGAGAAACTAACTCCATAAATAAAATAGTTGCTCCATGTGAAAGTATTCAATTTAGGATCCATTTTTTGTATTTCATGCATCAATAAGTTGTGTCATCAGCAGTGGCAGCTGCTTTTGATCTAGGAAGTGACATTTCAGTCCTGCAATGTAGTTTCGTTTTTTGGAGATGACTCCCTGCTCAAAATCTCTGCTCAAAATCTCTCCTCAAAGTCTCTCTCAACACCAAAGGATAAATCTATTTTAATACACTTTGTTTTCAAAAAGGAACAATAATAACTAATTCACCCATGTACAGTAAGTACACTGACAAAAAACTAATAACATACTATTAACACAAGGGGGAGCCATTACCTTTTCACACACTTGAAAAGATAAAAATTCCGTTGGTGCATTTTAAGGTGTAAAATGTATTTATTTTAGTTTGATAAGAGTAAGACCCCAAAGCCATCCAGAAGTTAGTAGCTTATAGCACACTATGTATTTAAATATGTCCAAAACCTTACACTCCATTTACATTACCAGGTCTGCTTTTATTGAATAAATACATTATTATAATTAATACTGCAACTTATCGTATGAGACTTTGGTATTATATTCGACACACACGACATTTATTTTAAACTCTTTAAATTAAGATAATGTTATTATTACTTTATGGGACAGTTAACCTCTATATTTAAAGAATATCAGTGTGTTGTGATTAATCTTGATATCATATTTTATTTTGAAGGGAACTGTCACTTGAAGGCCCAATCCCAAACCACGCCCTACACCCTACCCCTACCCCTCCGTTTGCGCGTTCGCACGGAGGGTCCGCCACATTAAGTGCTGTTCCAAACCAACGAGTGTGGAGAGGTGTGGAGGGGGAGTGGGCTATCAAGCCCTCAAACAGCAAGTCTGCATCGGTGCTGACTTGAGACCGGTCTCTACCTGACCGGAGTCACGCTGTGTGTGTCCGTCAGGAAACACGCTGTTTACAAGTAGTTCCAGCAAACATCCACTGATAAATTGCGATGTTAACAACCTCATGATAACCTCATATTTTTTTAACTTAGGATCATACCTGTGTTTAGTCTGGAAAAAGGTAAATGTGTGCATTTTATTATAAAGTTGTGTATATTTACAGACTGTTGCAAAAACTAAGAAGCTTATAAACATCAGGTTTAAAACTAAAAGAGCTTTACAAAAAAGTAACACAATGAAAGATGTTTGGAGTTTTATTTGAGTTCTTAATTTACATTTTTTGTCTAAGAGATGCTGATTTGAAACCGTTGTTACATACAGTTACGGCATTTCCTGTTTCTGCCGGAGAGAGGGGAGTTTGTCCCAAAGCTTGCCGCTGTATTTACTCCCTCCATCTGACAGGAGGGAGCCTCGTTGAGCTGCGAGTGTGGCTACAGACGGAGTTCACTCCGCCACGGAGGGGTAGGGTCGAGGGAGTGGTTTGGGATTGGGCCTAAGTCTAACTAAAAACATCAGGTATTCAAAAGGAAGCCATTTCCCCATGATGTCATTTTGTAGCACAACAAATTGGGAACACAACCTGGGTGGTGTCTTAACTTTGCGTAGATTAGTTTATGCTCAGATTCTTATAAAGGGTTAGGCACCAAACTAACAAACTGTAGCAAAGATAATCAGACAAAACACGCCACGATATCGTTCTACTCAAATCAAGCTAATCCGTGGTACAAAACAAGCTGAAACAAAATGAAACTCACCTCTGCAAACTTGAGGTCGCTGTTGATGAAGGACCACTCGAGCAGCTGCTGGATTGTGGGAACTCCCACTTTGTCCTTCTTGTCCATAAAGATCTGATAGAAGTAACAGTCCTGCACCTTCTGCCCCGCTGACCTGCAGAACAACACAAGGCTTTGTTCAAGTTCACATACTTTCTCAGTAGATTAGGATAAAACAACAACTGTAGTCTGTGCAGATATTAAAAACATTTCCTGTTGTACCCACAAGTGATATTGATCTCACTGGAATAAAAGCAGATCTGTTCCTAGCTTATTGTTGTGTGTGTGCTTGTGTGTCTCTCTCTCTCTCTCTCCCTGATTGTCTCCAGGTGCTCCCAATCCCCAATCAGGGCCTCCATAAAAGGACCTGAGGAAGGCTGCAGTGGCTCTCTCCTTCTCCTCTGGCTGCATGTGTGACATGTGCAGCATGGTGTCTGTGTCTCTGTGTGAGGCCTAGTTTAACGTGTGTGTTGCTCATTGTTAGGAGATGTGCTCCAGTGTACCTTTGTACCTTGTTTAATGTAGTCACTTTCTGTTTATAGAAGTTGTTCTAGTTTATTTTGCAAGTCGGCTGGTGAGCCCTTTTTCTTTGTTGAATTAAAAGTCCATCTTGTGGCTTGACAAACCGGTTTCCTCTCCTTTTTCTCTTGCCTGGTTGTTTTTGTGTTTTGTTACTTCTCTTTGGTTCCAGTAGGAAACGTAACACTGATCTTTTGGGAATTTTGCAATTTGATACAAAAGAGTACCCTATGTAGCACATTTTGATACAACCTGTAAATTGATGAACTACTGTACAGAATTTTTCAAAAACAACATTTCTAAATAACTTGTTAGGACTTATCTATGAATTGGATATACATGATCAGCTTAATTAAAAGCAATTGTGTGTTTTTATTTTTTATTTTCAAGCAGTTAAAGTCAACACCACATAGCCTTATGCTGAAAGCAGGCCGCTTAATTTAACATTTAACAGCTCGAGATATGATTACCACATGTTCTGTCACATCTGCATCCTGTCACTGATAAACTGTCGTGCCAGATTTCACACTGCTCAAGTATTTATTTTTAAACCAGGTACGTGTTTCAGAGGAGTCGTGTTAAATGACAGTTTTACAACTCTGTCACTGCTCGGCTTTGGCAAAACATAATTCCTATTAAAACACTAATGCACAACCTTTTAATTCAGTAGACCTGATTCGGCTCATCTGAATGGCAAACATCCTTAAACATGACCTTAGAAGGGGTTTTCATAACGCGATCAAAGAAACTCCTACAGTTAAACCACACAGTCTGCCACTCCGTCTCCATCTGAGCTCTGCAGCAGAAGTGAAACTTAATGCCCCGGTTAATCTGCATACTGCAGACTTAAGAAAAGGTCTGGTATGGTTCTGTGGTTTAGTGCTGATGTGTTTGGAAATATATTTGCAGAGTCTGCAAAGCAGCGTAAAGCAAAGATATATCTTCATTACGCCATGAGGTACACGGGGATCGTGTGTATCACATGGCTTCTTCTCGGTTAAAACATGTCAACATTATTTCTCTTTTGATTTAAAGTGCACCTATCATGCTATTTTAAGGCATATATTATGGGTCTCAGATATATACAAATATATAAAAACATGTCTATGATGTGTTTTTCTCAAAATACAAACAGATCATGCATTTTAGACATCCCTCATATCCCTCATATTCTAGCCCTGTTAGAGAAACGCTGATTTTGGGTCCTTAGCTTGAAAAAATAAAAAAGGGGAGGCGGAGCTAATGCCTGATCAGAATTCTACCGGAGATAAAGTAAAATTCTGCTGTGATAAAACGCCATCCTGTTCTAAACCACATCAAGGATTATTTCTGAAACAGTTTGGAGCTCAAATGCTTTTTCTCTCGCAGGTTTATCACAAGGTGAGTTCCTTTTTTGATTTCCTGCTTTTTAAACACATGCTCTCTCCAGTACAGGTTAGCTCTGAGTGTAAAGGCCCGGACACACCAGCCCGATTTTGGGAGTCAGAGGCCGTCAGAGGCAGTCGGGCATTCGCGGCGCCCTACTCAGGTTTGTGTGTCCCGCACCGTCGTCTCTTTACGGCACCTTTTCACACCTCCCGATGCCTCCCGCGGCCGTGGGAGGTCAGAGAAAGTCGGCCCAAGCAATCACTCCGATTGGCTGTTCACACTACCGCTGCCTGCTGGTAAGGACAGTTATTGCCACTCGTCGACTGAAGTATTTGCGGTGTGTTCGTAGGCGGGCGGCGTAGCGGGCGACGTAGCCGACGCAGGCGACGAAGCTGACGTAAAAGTCGGGACGCCTTCGGTATGCGTTCTTTGGTCTCAGGTGGGTGTGTAGCGGCCTTTAGCGAGGCTTGCTAATGTAAACAAAGACGAGATTACGTCCAAAACACGTCAGGCATTGTTTCTGATAGCAACTCTCTGTGGGTCCACCATCCGAAATTACGTAATATCGGCAGCAAATCTGTATCCGCTCGTTGTACCCCCGTTTTTAAAAGATTTGGGTACGGAGGAAAAGAGAAAGGGTTTTATTTTCTGACGCTGCGTGAGTTCCCCGACGCACCGGGGACACATATTTATGTATAAAAGACATCAAAAAGTGCATTTTGCATGATAGGTCCCCTTTAAGACAGGGAAGATACATGGGGCAAAAACAATTGAATAAGAGGAACAAAAGATGGAGAAAATAAGATATATACTTTTGCATTTTCCCAAGAGACGTTTGCTTCCCCTTGCGAAAGACTTCAGCTAAAAAAAAATTACGAGGTCAGGGAGAGGCTCGTTTTATGGATTTTATTTTGAGCCCAAGACGTTAAGACATCAGTGCTTGGATGTTTCATTTCTAACCTTTGAGTTTCTTCTCCACCATGTCTCTTCCCAGGCTCGGTACTTTTGTGTCATTCTGCACATTATTTATAAAAGGGGATTTGAAACTAGCGCTTACCTTAGCCTGAGCAGCGGGTCCACCCTCAGTATGTGATGGAAAAGGATATTGAGGAACTCCTCAGGATCTGCAGAACAACATGAACTTAAATGAGATCTCCGTTTACATTTCTGTGTTTAAATCCAGTGCAGACCGTAGGAACTGAAAACTCAAGAGCATGAATGTGTGTGATATTTTCAAATAGCGGATTTGTTGTGTGACTGCCAGCATTTCATTATATTTTACTGTTCTTAAAAGAGTTTGTTTTATCCTCAAAAAGGTATTTTGATGTTACAAGTATAGCAGATAATTCAATCAAATTCAAAATCTAAATTCAGATTCTCATCACCAGTACAAAGAAGATGAAATGTTCAAACCCAATGAGTAACGTGGAAGAGTAAATGCACTTTTAAAAAGACCACTAAACTATTTACCGTCTCTCTCTCCTACCTTTTTCTTCAGACGTAAACCCAGAAGCAGCTTCTACTTTCTCCAGGATCCTCCTCAGCTTCATCACCTTTGTGGCACAAACATACCCATGTCTGCAGGACAAACAAGAAACAAGTTACAACTCAGCAAATGTTATAACATCAGTTCTGCTAGTACAATTCTGCATCAGATGTTAAAATCAGGGTAACATGCAGCGAGGCGGTCATTATGGGGAAAAGAACACCCTTCATGCTTCGCGTCGGGCTCCTGATGAGCATGAAGGGTGTTCTTTTCCCCAGAATGACCAAGTCGCTGCACATTATCCCGCTTATTACACGGCCACATTCTCAACAAAGTAACGATAAGACTCCCAATATTAATTGAAATGCTTTTATAGATTTAGAAAATGTTTTTATTGATTTAAAATGACATGCATCCGCTAAGAAAAATAGTCCGTTGTTACCGTTTGAACTAACGTAGCAACGGCAGGAGCTGCTTCGATAGCGTTTTTGAGGAGCTTTTTGATTACAGATTTGAAAACATCGTTGCTTGCTTTAAAAGTAGCACAATTCATTATGTCAAACCTTGGAAAGTATCTAGATATCCCTGCCCTAATGACAAAGTAACTGGCAACTGAATATGTTTTTCCGTTTGATGTCTATGTCTGGACCGTTGCGTAAAAAGGAGGGTTTCGGCCAAACTGTATACAGTTAAATCGACCGGACTTCTTTCTGCAGATGTGAGCGCCCTTAACAACGGTCAATAAGTCCTTGACAGCGGTCTGTACTACTGGATTAACAACGTGTCACGTGTTCTGAATTGACCAATCAGAATCAAGTATTCAACTAAGCCATGTAATAAGATGAAGCAAATAATGCAACCAATAATATTTCAGATTCTGTTTGTTTTTATTTATCTGAAACCATGTGCAAGCAATTTAGCATTCTAGTCTAGAACAGCTTTTAGTTTACAATAACAAAATATCAATATATAAAACATATTTCAGATTATATTCGGTTACATTTATCTGATTTCATATTATGTGAAGGCTCTGATTCACAAGTCCCAGAGAAACTTAAGCTTTCTAGTTTTTAACATTCTTAAGTATTCTGTATACAAATCTGAACAACATGCTTAAAAGAGATGCTTCAAATCCTACAATAAATGGCATCATTATGTTTGCATTAAATGACGTTGACTCACATGCGCAGCGGGTTGACTATCTCTGTGCGCAGCAGCTCTTGTGTCTCTCGGTAATATTCCACATCGGTTTTAGATCGCGGCCTCAGGAGAACCGTGTCCAGAACAGAGCTGAAGGAGAACAGACTGCAGGGAAAAAAACACAACAATCATTATTCATGTTTCTTTTATCTATCTAGATAAATTAGGATTTACTACGTTTATTGGCTTTTTGCAATTAAAACACTTATTATTGATATATTATTTTGAATATAAATCCATGCTATAACAAGGAGAGCTTCCCTGCTGATGGACGAATGAAGGATTTCTAGAGTGGTCCAATTTAAAGCAAGAAAACTCCAAACTGGTGGAAGTGCCTTTAAAGTGACCTCCTGTAGTTCGGTGAAGACGTTTAGGTTGACTGCTTTGTTCAATGGCCCTTTGGCAGAGTTGGCAGTAAACAACAGATCTACCCACTGCTCTCAGCGGGAAAACACACTCCTGTGAGAGCCAGTGGGCAAAGTCAAAAACCGTTTACCGATAAGCCTCTGCCTCTGGGCAAACTCAGCGCTGCGGGGCGGAGGAAGCGCCAAAAACTCAATCAATAGAATAACACGGCATGCACTGCAGCTCATCTACTAAAATACACTGACCAGAAGAGTGTTGAATCCAGGTAGCAGGAGTTGTAGTGGCCCTGGATGCCTTTCTTTTTTCCCACCATGACATCCAGACCGTCGTTCTCTGTGCGTGGAGGCGTGTTCTCATGCACTACTTCGCTGAGGTACCCCCCAAATGCTGCAAAAACAAACACAGTACAGGTTTAAACACTTAGCCTTAAAGGTCCCCTATTACACTGTTTTTCATCAATATATTATAGGTCTCAGATATATACAAAACATGTCTCTGAAGTGTTTGGCTCCAAACACCAAACAGATCATTGCAGCATCCCATAATCCCCTCTGTTTCAGCCCTGTTTCCAAAGTGCTGATTCTCTGTCTGTTACTTTAGATGAAAATAAGGAGCCCCTCCCCACGCCCCTCTGAGAGATATTTGGTTACAAAGAACACAATGGTGCTCTAGGAGGAGATTCAGGTGATAAGGTGGGGGGGGGGGTTACCTTGGTTGGTGATTGGCTAATGGTTACACAAGACAAAACATTGTTATGACATCATAAAGTGGCCAAAATCTGATCAGCTCATTTTCAGACAGGTTTTTATATAAATGGATCAGGACAAAAAGAGAGAGAATCTTTGTTCCTGAAACTTTCAGAATCTCTTTACACAGAGGGGACACATGCTGATGTAGAAGAGACATGAAGAAGAGGGGACACTTGTTTATGTATACAAGACATGAAAACTTGGATTTTGGGTGACCTTTAAGGGACACAAACGGGTGCCTTTTATCGTCTCGTTTCTGCTGCTGACTTACCGATGGAGTTGCAGCGCTCGATGGGGTTGGAGGAGTGGTGCAAGGACGGGAAGCGGGAGTCGGGCCGGCAGCACTTGAGCTTCACAAACAGAGCTTTTTTGGGAGGGCAGGTGAAGTACCGCGTACCTTTGAACGTGCCGTCAGTGCAACCAGGACACTCCTCCTCCTGCAAGAGAAAGTCAAGGTCATGTCATCACATTACTGTAAATATGTCATATGTTGGCAGAAAAAGGCATTGACAGAAATGTATTCTGACTTTTTCCAAATGCTTTAGGTCTTATTAAGGATACTTTGTAACTTTGTTTACCACTTTGATGAAAAGTGATTGTGACGAATATGGTGCATTTAACAAAATGTGGCCCATTTGTCATCTCAGTTACCCAAAATATAAAACATATTACATTTTTTTCAGAAAGATTCAGACACACGCGATGTGAGAATGCACTGTGCATGCAGGTGGTTGTCATTTTACTGAGTTTCCTGAATTTAAACTAAATGTATACGGGATGCTTGCAAATGATCTGTGATCTGATGCTGAACACAAGCATGTTACAATTTAATTTAATGGGCAAACTATGACCTTGCAATAAGACCTTGTATTTTATGCATGTCTTCTGCCGAAACTATTAAAAATACAATTCTTTGAGGGGTAAAAATCCCTGATTCCCCTGTCTTAAATTCCCTTGGAAATTTCCCAAAAATTCAAGGGACATGTCATTACTTTTGAAACCCTTTCCACCAGTCAATCAGAGTTATTAGTAGCAGCATTTAGCAGCTGTACTTCAACAACGGAGTGAAGCCTGTGGTGGGGGGGTTCAGGTTGCAAGGCTTTTTGCAATCACTGGTCAGAGAAAAGCAATCAACAACAGCAGTGATTACTAACAGAAATAGCTTTAACTGACCATATAAAAAGAGTGGTGAGTGAGTGGTGCTGATTCACACTGATAATCACTTGATAATCACTTGATAATCACTTGATAATCACTTGATACACTGATGATGATCAAGCGCTTTGAGCACCAGGAAAAGCGCTATATAAATCAAATGCATTATTATTATTATTATTATAATAAGCTGTTCGCTGTGGCACAAACCACATTATGATTAAGAGCTCTAGAAATATGTTTAGATGTAACTGGTCAGTAGGTATCTGAAGATCAAAAGTACCAAAAAAAATCATGCATCGAAAATGTTTGGAAAAACAATAACTGGCAATACTAAGTCTGTACAGCCCGTCTTATGTCAATACGACACCAAGTCAAATTCCTCGTACGTGTCAACCTACCTGGTAATAAACCTGTTTCTGATTCTGATATCATTTATTCTATTTTTTTGATGTTCATATTGTAATTTAATACATTAACTTCTTAAGTGTATTAAATTATCCTCTTCCAATTTCTTTAAAATCTGTTATTTGTTATTTTAGTCTCAAATGAAGCGTCTGCTCACCAGCTCCAGCCCAGCGAGCGGCTCCAGCAGGCCGGGGGGGAGGCCCACCCAGCGGATGACCCCACACAGAGGGGGGTTCTCCTTCACCTCCACCAGAGAGCCCACCTCCAGACCGGGCTGTCCTCGGGGGGGCGTCGAAGGCCTCGGTGACGGGGGGGCGGCGGGTGACGGGGGCTCGGGCTGCTCCCCCATCACCGACTGCACGGACAGCGACAGGGGGCCGTGGCTCATGCTGTCGATGGGGCCCGTCTTACGGTTCAGGCTGAAGGGGAGCGAGTGGAACTTGTTGTCAGTGGACAGCGTGGCGGAGGGTGGGGCTCGGGAGGGCGGGGGGGACTGGTTGAAGTCGGGGGGTGTGTCAGTGAGCGACTTGGCGGGGTCCTCCCCAACTACAGGAGGGAAAGAAACAAACAGAGGGTAAGGTCTATTTTAGTGTAAAGACACAGCAGGGTGTCTGGGCACTGTTGTGGAGATGTTAGTATTTTAAAGAGTTATTTAACTATAGCCTCAAAACTATTTAAAACATTAAATCTGCCAAATAAACACAAATATATATTACAAATGTATATATTTATTTTTTTTGGCAATACGGTTTGTCTTTATGTTCTTGACAATAAAGCTATCTGAATTTGAATTTAAGTTTAATCAAGATAAAAATCACTATCTTACTGACATGTACCACTAGAGGTCAGCAAAACTAGATTTCCATGGCGTTTAGTTATGGTGTAAAAGGAAGAAAGGAGTCTGCACGCTTGAGGAATTTGGCTTTAAAGATGAAATACATTTAAAAAAGTCTTAATCAATGGACATCAGTTCTTCCAAACATGCATATCAGGCGGGTTCATTTTAAGAATATTCCCTTGTCTGCGTTCGTTGATGATTATTTTCCTTAATTCCTGAAGATGAAGCCACCATTTGGACTTAGATATGTGTGAAAATGCTCTTCATTGATACGAGATGTCTGGTGTGCAGACTCCTTCTACCGACTGATGGTATTCTGCAAAATGCAAAAAAAATAGCTATGAGCACTTCACTCAATTTACGTGAAGTATCACATTTAAATGTTGTGTACAAATCCCAAAACTCAGATTATTTCTTTTAAAACAATGTGTTAGTGAGGGGTGTGCCACTCCACCATGACATGAGTGATTTGGATACATGCTTACTCTGATCAATCCTGAGAGAAGTGTGGAGGAAAGTCTGATGACTTTGAGACAGAAATGAAAAGCACCATAACCACACAAAACAATAACCCAAAATGTGGAAAGTGACCCTGAGGGAGATGAAAATGATTACACATTCACAGGATGAGTAAGCAGTTGTGAAAACAACCCATCAATTATTTATGACTGACCCCCACTAATTATTGCATTAGTATTTAAAAATACTTTTACAGGCACTCAGGTATTCTGTTTTGTCATAACAGGAGGCAACACAAATTTGATTCATGATGTTGAGGCATGTCTTTGTTCTGCTTCTAATTCATTGGTTGAAGTGTGAATAGGTAATTAGGTATGCAGTTATACATTTTTGGACGATATATATTTTCCAGAATGTGATAACGAACAGAATAATTAGAGTTAATATCCAGAGTGCTGTGAGCCTCCACCATCTTCACTACAGGAAACATTATGATTCACAACTGGCACGTATTGGTGATGACATGAGCAAAGTGATTCCCCGCTTAACAAGAAAGAAAAATGACACAATGGACTTACTGCACCAGTCAGGACCGACACTAGAATTAAAGGCATTTAATAATGCTTTGGCGTGCAAATAGTACTACACAGAGATATTCAAACTGTGTCTGAAGCCAGTTAAGGAGTTATTTGCAGCGCTGAGCATTATTAAAAGCCTGAGGGCGACACCGATTACTCCATGCAGGTGGAACACCACAGTCAAATGGTGATGAAGCACAAGGGTGGTGGAAAGGTCTTTTATAGCAAGCTACTGCAACAAACTACTAATCGTTGTTTTTATACAAACCACCTATGGGGCAGACTTTTTCATTTATTGTATCCCACAATACAGTAATTACAGTACATAACGTACATATACTACACATGCTTGCAGTACGTTTACTTATGTATGAAACTCTATTTCTCCCACTTGGTACAAATAAAGGGAAATTCAAAATACAAAAACACTCTTTAATGGTAGCTAATTAAAAAATCATATTTATACTAATCTCCCATAACTCTAAAACGTACCACTTCTGTAAGCTACTGACAAAGTATATCTGTTCACAGATCAGATCAGTTGTGTTGGTGGTATTTCTTATACTAGCCAGCGAGGTGCAGAAGGATGGTGGATTTAGCACCAATGCTCTGTTTACTTGCTGCTGAAATTATAGAAAAGGGATCAAGTCAAGTCAAAGATATTTCATAATTATGAGGCAATAAAGTATGCTGTGCCGTGTAATTCAACCTTTAACTAAATGAGAAATAGACTAATGTATAAGTATTTAGGTAAATGATAAACTAATAAGAAGAAATGGGAAAAAAATTGCTTCATGTAAGAATTCACAAATTCGGATTATATATTTTATATATATGTTTTTGATTTCTACAGAATAACGTATACATTGCTGCTGATGACAGTAATGCTTCACAGCAAGTCAACGTTGTGTGAAGCATTATTGTTTAATGTGTTGAAGAATTACACAAAATACCAGTTTTACCTCTTATTTCTGTGTACAATTTTTTTTTTTAATGTTGGCAGGTTTCTGAGAAATAAAACGGCAGCTAGTCTTAGCCTGCCAATTTCAATTATGTAACGGTACGTCCACACGGTTCCGTCGCGTTGAAGCTTGCCGGTGGGCGTGTCTGGCGTGCGACCAACAACCAATCACATGAATCTCCCGCCCCGGACACACAAGCACGCGGTTTGATTGGCTAGAGCTTGTACTGGCATATGATTTGATTGGCTGGCGCTTCCGTCGACGCTTGAAAAGTTTAACTTTTCTCAACCTTCAGCACGAGCAACGGAGGCAAAGCGAGGCAACAGAAGTACAATGCAGTTTGATTGGCTAGAGCTTGTACTGGCATATGATTTGATTGGCTTCTGTCGAAGCTGCGAGCAAAGCGAAGGAACCACAATGCAGTTCGGCAAAGCGTGACGTCCCCCCATTCAAAGTGAATGGGAAGCGTCTCCGTTGAAGCACGCGACGGAACCGTGTGGACGTTATGTAACAGGCAGCGATTTTATTTTATGACTTCAACTTGTTATTCTTTAAATCAGTGATGATTTTGAAATGCTAAAAATATTTAGTCTTTAATTTTGCATATTCAGCATGAATAAATATAACCCTTTGTCTTGAGTTAATCTTAGTTTTCAGAGAGTGTATGATAACTTTTAATAATAAAAACGTAATGATATTATACACACTAGACTCTCCAGTAGATTCACACCACTATTAGGTTTTAAACTTTTTGGATAATATAGGAAACTTGTTAAAGTAACCTTTTTTTTTTTTAACTAGTTTTATAACAAACCTTATTCATTTAGTTTTGTATTATTAGATCACAAAACTCCACTTATCATTAAAACATTGCTATGTTCCACGTTCTTTTAGCAGGTGGGAGAGACAGGTTTCCATACACAACTTTTATTTGCCATTTTGGAGAACATTTCTATTAAGAGCAACCCAAAGAACCAGAAAAGATTTGTCTTTTAGTCCAAGAGTTACCCGTCATCCTGCCAATGTTAGGAATTTAAACTTTAAAATCACCAATAAACATGTGCTTTAGTGATTTGGATTATCAAGTAGCTTGTTGTAAACAGTAGCTTGCCGGTGAGAGGGTTGACGTCCCATGAGTTCCCGTTTTTACCTTCATCAATGTACCATGTGCTTTTGGATTTGGACTGGGCGGGAGGGTCAACAGAGCTGCCATTTAAAGTATAGTAAAACTCAGACTTGCTTCTACTGCCACACTGATGACCTAATCCTGTAAATAACACAAGTACATGAAAAAAAACACAGAAAGATAAGAAGAATATGTGTGTGTGCTGTAAGAAAAGCAGGGTAGGGTAACCTAGGGGAAAATGTCAATTAATCAGCAACTTTGGTCGGTTTTTCTCCATAAAAGAAAAACAAAAAGAGAAAGCAATCAGAGAACAGATTCACATCAAATGAATGCAACGGGAGTTTCTCATATATTGAGCAATATGGAGTAAAACCGTTATAATGATTATCTTTATAAAAAGGGACTTTCCATCACAACTCTTCTTGAGGTTGTTATTCCTAAACTACTTCAAATTTGGCAAACAGTTTGAATGAGTTCTCTAAAAGAAAGAAAATACTTCCTCTTTCCGGAACTAGCCTCAGAGGAATCTTCAGAACGGGCCAATCCCAAATTGTGAAATTTCTTTTTTTACTATCTGTACTAAATCCATTTTGTTGGAATGCCCCTTTTTTCAAGAGTAATCATCACACCCAGAGGTGTGTGTGTCAGTGAGGTGAGTATGGTAACACCGGTGTACCTTTGCTCTTTGGTTTGCTTTGGCCAGAGGACGACTTTTCACTGTTGGTGCCTCTGGGGGCAAAACTGTGCTTTTGCAGCCTTTGGTCCTGCATGGAATAATCTGCACGGCCCAGAAATAAATCCACATTAGAGCCACGACACGTTTATCAGCCTGCGAAAAACTACCATGCAGCAAAAGTCTTCACAGCGCAACTGCAACTTGTGTGTGAATTTACATTGACCTTATTCCATTTTACTTTATGGCTTTCAACGTGTCACTGCGGTTCAACAAAAACAAGTTTGATTAACACAATTCAAATAACAAGTTTAAAGACCCTATTTTCATTTCCTTCGCTCAACTTTTAAAGTTATGACACTGAAGTCATAACATAGCATACAACACTTCAATGACAATGGATGCATTGCTTTAATTAGGGTCCAGACTAAAAATGTTTATTTAACTGAACTTTTACCGTTACTTTTAAAGTGTTTTTTACCTTTCACTTTGGACATACGGTAGGCAGAAGTCACAAAAGATGATTGCAGCTTCTAGTATCACAAGCATGCAGTGTTGGAAAGTAACTAAGTACATTTACTCAAGTCCTGTAGTACTATTTGATCCTACTTGTACAGTACTTTACTTGAGTATTTCCATGTTATGCTTCTTTATACATTTTGGAAACAAACATTGTACCTTTTACTCAACTAGTTATATATTCATTATTATTACTTTTGATTTGATATAAAGCAGAACTGTCCTACCAATATTGCTGGTACAAATAATAAAAAATGGTCTCAATATTCACAAACTACAACATTTAAAGGCTATTATGTATTTGTAAGCAATTAATAGAAGGAATAATATAACATTCTTTATTAATATAATACTTTAATAACAGCCATTGTGCACAAGGGGTGCTTTTACTTTTGATACTTTAAGTACATTTAGTTGACAACACTTCTGTACATCTACTTAAATAACATTTTGATTTCAGGACTTTCACTTGTCTTGGAGTATTTTCAGACAAAAGTCTTTCTACTTCTGAAAGCATGACACATTAGCATTAAAACATTTTATTTGGGTGTAGTTTTGAAAGTAGCTGTATTTAGTAATAACACTTGACTTCATGTATTGCTGTTTAGAAACTGCAAGAAGAAGGTTTCAAAGGAAAAATGAATGAACATTTTCTAAATAAAGAATCCTAATGTTATAAAACATCTGTATGCGTGTCTGAAAGGTCAGAGAGGCGTCAGTCGCACATATAAACATTCAATATGCCAACGTGGAGAACAAAGAGCCCGAGTATCTCACTTGACTTTCAAAAAACAAGAGAGACATCAACACAAAAGGCTCTCTGTTCCCGCTGCGAGCAAAACACAAACTCCGAACGCTCAGAGCTGGTTCAAGAGAGGGACAGCTCAATGTTTTCAGAAACAACGCTGGAAGTTTATTTGCAAATTCTACGTGACTCACCTGGCATTACGTCACAGATGGGTACGAGTCGAGTGTGCTCCAAACTGGCAAAATTACACAGCAGCTTCCCATCGATCATACCATCCCAGTCCCCGATGGGATTGTCCTGAAAGAGTTGGAGACATGAGAACCATGTAAACTCTGCCAGGCGTTCTTCATCTCTGACACACACGTGCTTCTTCCCCTCCTACTATCTTCTTGATAAGAAGCTCAATCCACTGTGTTGTTATGATCCAAACTGCTCATCAGATGTTCTCCCTGAAAGCTATACTTTCTCCACAGCCACACTATTCTCCTCCCTCAGTTTAAGAATCCAGGACTGGAGGATATTCTACGTGAGCACGGTGCCACTAGCTAGCGCAGGCAGGGCGAGGCTGGACGCAGAGAGAGGCAGAGCAGTGGGCTCTCCTCACTGCTGGCCCTCTGCCATGCTGTTGGGTCATACAGCACTGAGTCTTTACCTCACTCCCCGTGTGACTGCCTTGCCTTTGTGTGGGTGGCTCAGATGCACTGAGTGGGCTGCTGCTGCTGCTGCTGCTGCTGCTGCTAGTGCTGCTGCTGCTAGTGCTGCTGCTGCTGTTGTTGTTGTTGTTGGTGCTGCTGCTAACGATCAGCAGTCAAATGCCTCAGTTATGCGTTTCAATTTCCCTGTGACCACAACAACTCTCCGGCCTGACAACAGTAGTCATAGATACTAGCCCTGCTCGATTTGGAAAAAATAACTAATTGAGATCAGTTTGATAATTAATATTGCAGTTGTGATATGATTCACAATATTGGGGAGAATTTAAATGCTGTTCATGTGAAATGCATATTAAAATGATCATATTGTGATTTATTTAAGAGGATCTGTAGCAAACATAAATTATATTCAAAGTCTGTAGAACACAATTTGTTGGCCAGGATATCAAAGCAGCTCTAAAATACTTCGATAAAGATTGTATTTTAAGAAATATTAAGCCTTTAACAAATATTGTGTTTCCTGTGAATATAGCACTGCTCGATGTTGCGGTGTCGCTAAAAGTTATGAAGCCCTCGTGCAGAAGATACCAGCCACTCTGATACCCAAAAACCAGACATACTGTAGTGCCACAAGGTACAGAAACATGGTTGTCAGCAAGTCATGATAGAAGATATTTAGTTACATAATTTGCCTCATCTGTTCAAATTGAAACTTGCATGGTGCTGCCCTCTACTGAGGCGAGCAACTCAACATTTGACACACATTACATCATCTCACTTTATAAACAGACACTTAAATGTAACACTGACCAGGTGATGAGATTTGAGTTCTTTATGAAACACTGAAAGCATTAAATTATGTATATTTTCCCACTTTTTCCTCCACTTTGTTACCAAATGGCACTAAATAAAACACTGTTGTCATGTGAAAGCAATTCAAGCCGCTCACAAAAGTTACTGATTGCTTCCAAAACATCGTCAAACAAATAACTCCAACCAATAGTCCAACTAATAACCATAACAAGTTCTGGTTTTAACACACAGATGAAGTTGTCTTTTATGCTAAATGAGTTAGCCTAGCTGTTGGGCCATCACTTTTTATTCAGTGTAAAAAACATGAAGGTGGTTTTCATCTTCTCATCTTACGCTCAGCAGGAAGGCAAATAAGTATATTTCCCAAAATGTTGAACTGTTGTTTTAGGGAAACAAGTCATCTAAGGGACAGTTTCATCCCACAGGCCATAAGACTGATAAACACCTGAACTTTTGAAAGAACATCCATAACATCTGTTTGCAACTTATATATATCAATATTCCAATTACTTGACTATTCTGCACAACTTCTATTATATTCTATTTTATGTTATTTACTTGCACTATTATCTGTTTTATTGTGTTGCACTGCTGGAGGAGCCTTTGACCTAAGATGTTCATTGTCATAACTACAGTGTAGCTATGTACGCATGACAATAAAAGCCTTGAACCTTGCACCTTGATTGTCAGGAAGCAAAAAGTTTCAGAGCTAAATGTCTCAAACTTCACTGAACAAAAGCAGCAGAAGTCTTTTGTGAATTTGAACATTTTTTATAAAAACCACTCTAGTTATTCAGAGAGGGCGTTACTTACCATGTCTACTCCCACATAGTAGCCCAGGCTCTCATTCCCGGGCAGCAGGTCACAGAAGATGATGGTCCCTCTCTCCGGCCCGTCCCTGGTCTGCACCAGGACCCTGGAGTTGATCTCCAGAGGAGGAAAGTCCTGGTCGTCTTCCACCAGATTCACGTGGTCCACCTCCAGCTCACCCAAAGCTTCGTCATCGTCATCCTCCCAGAGTTCAAGCTTGTCCAGGGCCACAAACACACCGCACTCATCCTCACAGCGGAAGAGTTGGCGTCCCTGGTAGGATCCCTCGGTGAAGCCCTGGCCCCGGCCCTCCTCCTGGGAGAAGGAAGTAAAGAACAGGGTTCATACACTTTTTCACCAATGATTTTCAATGACTTCTCCATGACCTTTACCTAATTTTCCATGACCAAAAACATTACTCTTTCTCAGCGGTACCACTGAAAATGGTTTATTTTAACATGGAACAGGAAAATAAGGTCTGAAACATGTTGTGCCTATCTAAAACAAATCAAATAGGCTTACTAGCTTCTACAGGCTAAAGCAACTAAAATCTCTCACCAGCAAAATACCTCGTCAGATGCCATTTTACGTTTCATTACTATACGATACAGTATTTATTATTGGTATAGTATTACTATTTCGGCGATTAGATAAAATATAAATTATATTCGATGCAACTTTAGTTACATTTCCATGACTTTTCCAAAACTTTGGGAAAAATATTGTTTTCCATAACTTTTCCAGGGCCTGGAATTTGCATTTTGAATTTCCATGACTTTTCCATGTTTGTAATGACCGTAAGAACCCTGAAAGAAAGGATGATGGGAAAGAGTTTATAGAAAGAAAAGGAGCAGCAGGGATGAGCAAGTCATTGTCATAAAAAGTAGGGCAGGTAGTGAGGCTGCTTACTCAGCATCCTTCAGGGAAGTCAACATCAGAGAGTGTATGATCGATTACTGCAGCAGGAATATGACTTGCTGCGATGATAAATGCATTCAAAAAGCTCGGGCACAGATACTAGATGTTCTCACAAAGCGTGCCGTCACAGATTGTGCTTTTCTTCCTCACACGCTGGCTTTACAGTAGATAGCGTCATTTCTATTTGGTAAGGGCATAGAAACAGAATTGTATCTGAAGCATATGTGCTGCTCTGAGGCTGCAGCTACTGTCTGCCCACTCAGGAAGACTCCAGCTGGACTCAGGAGAATAACAACAACTTTGTGCTGCGATAAGCAACCCTTTGTATTGTGTTGCTTACTGTACATGCAGTACAGCATGAATGGCATCACATAAGCACGTTTGTATTCAGATAAAAGGAACAGTTAACAGGAACTCAAATGTTATCAAAACTTTGCTGGATCAGCTTTGTTTAAGTATTCTCTGAAACAACATTTATATTTGTCGATCTCCACATTTAAAGGTTAGAAAAAGACTGACATTCGCAATCAATTTGAAGGACATAACCCACAAACAACAGAGACCGATGCTACGACACATACGTAATTTAATCCTGCGTTTTCCACACGTCAAAATAAACATGACGCACAGGGTGATGAGATGTGACATTCTTACAGTATAGCAACTGTCACACAAATTTGAATATTTAGCATTTCATTCTGCCATGGAAGCTCTGCCTTGTGCTGGTATTGACAGAAAGCTCCACACAGAAACCAAAATAGCTCGACAATAGTCAGCAAAACGATTTGTTTCAGGGTTGTGTCAACAACAACAACAAGTGCAAGCTGACAACGCAGAGATGAAAGCAGAGGGACGCGGAATAAATCTATTTGTACTCTTTGCATTTTACCCCCTGTTATGTATGTAGATACTAAAGTCAATTGAGCCTAAAATAACAGACTCACACTCCGGGAACGTATTGGTTGCTCACAAAATCACATACTTCTTATCTGCTTGTTTATTAGGTACAGAAGTACAAACCCTTTATCGCATTGCAATTGCCCTGATCACTTTTTCAAATGAAGGCTATGGGTCAGAACACATGTATGTCTGTTACTCATAAAGACAGCATAGTGTGTTTTTACTTGCAGGACTATGTATCTGATGCAGCTTTAATCATTAGACATAATATAGGAAATGTGGGCCAATTATATTCACCCAGCTCCACGATGCTGTAAAGAACAGTCTTGTCTTGTCTTCATGTCTCCTTCATTTGTATCGGAGACAGTAAGACAGCAATCTGTGTCTTCACTGGGTTAACGGTGATTAGTAAGAACACTCTGATCATTCATTTCAGACAGCTGCTTTGACACGATTAGTCTCCCGACATTAAAAACTCTTAACTCAGCGCCGCAGAAGTGTTTGGTTGTAATTCTGCTTTTGTTCCATGTCTGTACACATAAAGTTGCACAAAGCGCACGTTGAAAATAATTAACTTGTCGGTTTTTGGCTAGTTTCATGTCATTTTAAGAGGAACAGTGATTAGTTTTAATAATCAAGATTTACAAATATTTACAGAGGGATATTTTCAAAAAGATTCTATGGAACTTAAACAATGCCTCGAATATGATTTTATATATATTTTCACTGCACGAGAGGTCTCTTCCACTTTTACCCCATTAAATGTGGGGTTTGTTTGGAAGTTTTGTGAGGGACAGAGGGTGTCGCATCCGTATTCATATTCTGTACAAACTGTATAGTCCCCTGAGACCAATGTAACATTTTTGACATTGGGCTATATAAATACACTTTGATTGAAACATTGAAACACAAAACACAAAACACCCTTGTCTACTTCTTAATAAAAGACACAGTTCTCACCAGCAGCTCTACTCCGAACCAGATTCCAGAGAGCGCTCTGTCAGGCAGCAGTGAGCCTTTGAAGCGGACCACCCCGGGCAGAGGTTCGTCCCCCAAGCGCAGCTGGACCCTCACCTTCGACCCACAGTCAATATCACGCACTCGCTCCAGCCGGGACTTGTTGCAGAGCAGGGCGTAGCGCTCCTCGCAGTTTGTGATGGGGAACAGCAGCTCTGCCAGCTTCTCGTCCAGCTCCAGGACGTCCCGCTCGTCCAGACTCAGCACCACGTTGGTCTGGTCCAGGATGCGGAGACTTTTCTTGCCCTTGTTTGGAGGCAGCGTTCTCCCCAGGCTGTTGCGCTCCTGGCAGGCCTGACCGAGGCTGCCGCGGGGGATCCTCAGGGTCTTCTGGGGGGTCTTCTCCACCGTACACTCCTTGATGACCATGTAGAAGCGCCAGTCCTCCCTGAAGCCCCCGCTGGGCTTCTCCTGGCTCCACAGGGCGGAGCTCATGGCTGCATGCTAGGCAGGAGGTCCAACATCAAGGCAAGCTTGACCTGCGGAAATTATGAGAGGAACATTTATTTATTAGTTTGTTTGATGACTTAAAATGCATTATTCCTCAGCCCAGTCGAAAACAAACGATATAAATTGTTATCATTAAATCTGAGACAGAGGGCTCCACGATTCAATAACTGTCAATTCTAAAATTAAATACTGAGTTCAGTCCCATATTAAATGTACTTGAAAGGGTTTTGAACATATTGTCTTCTGTGATTGTAATGTTCTGTTCCCTTGTTTCTTCTTTTAAGTATTTTTCAGTGTTAGTATTGCATATATATGGAGCAGCTGTGATAAAAAACCTGACAATTAAGTTATATCTTATCATATTGTATTTGTTGGAATGTATAGTTAACAAACCATGCTGAAATAAACTACTAATGGTTTGATTAATGTAGGAAATAGTTGTATCACAACCTGATAATGATGAATGGTGAGTACAGAAATGAAAGGGCGAGACTTGTACATACATATCATGAAAACTTGTGAATCAATTATACTACCATAACGCTATCAGATATTTTAATATATGGTGGTAACTTCCAATTTTCCATTCTTTCAGTAATCTGATTGGTTGTTGTGGTTTGTGATGAGAAATCTAACATCTCATGGTGATCTCTACTGCCCAGTCACACCTGCTCAGTACACCTGTTTTTCTTAGCAAGCCCTGTTGTGACATTACTCACATCTACTGATTTGATTGTCCTAAAAATAGTGAGCAGACGGTTGACATTTTCTCACAACCAACTCTACCTCAAATACCAGACAATTGGATTTCCCCTGATGACACCTCAGATATGATGATGTACCACAAGACACAGTCAAGAAAGAGCACACTACATCCGTCCTTTGTTCGAACAATGCTAACTAACTAATTCAATTATTATTATTATACTGCTGTTTTCAATAAATGTGTATAACGTTTAACATGTTAATATTGAGGCAATTACACAGCACAGTGCCACACAGGTAGAAAACTGAAAGTAATTTCAACCTGATATGGGCTAGCTAACCCTAACATGATTTGACATGTATTTACCGTGTTTATTGAGATGACAACATGTTTATTAAAATGTGTTGGCATCACTGACTCGTTTTTAGGATCATTTTCCCTGACAACCAGCAGTGTGTCATCACCAGGCAGAAGCTGTCACTCAAAGGCCCTTTAAGAGAGGGAAGTAGCTAACGTAGGATAAAATGCACCAAATACTCATTTACTTTCAATAAAAACGACATGGAAATCTTACCTTTGCTGTGCGTCAGTTCAGCACGAAGCTACAGATGACATGCCATTTCAAATATCCATCTCGTTTAGATACAGGCTTCTGAAAACAAGCTCCCGTAATAACCTCTGATTAGCTGAATGGCTAGCGTCCTGAGAAGCTAAATATCAGGCTAAAGTTAGCATAGCGAGCTGATAAACAGCAAACATGCTGGCAGAAAACTGCCACCCTCTACAGTGAGATTTCAGCATTTAGGTAAATCTACTCTCCATGGGAAATAGGTTGAATAAATACAGTGTATCGCTACAGAAATGAAATATATTATTTACAGGAGACGACCTCACAAAACTTGATGTGTGACGCCATGCTCTCCCCAACAGACATTGGTCAGTCGTTTCATTCTCAAGCGCTGATTGGCTGTTCATTGTGTTAGCAATCAAGTCCCACCCTCTGGGGTTTTCCCAGGAATGGCAGCACACGTAGTTAGGTTGAAGTGTAGATTTCAGGGCAGAGGATGCTGTCAGTGGTGGAAGAAGTAATTACTGTGCTTCCTTTTTGTTCAATTGTTTAAAATGTGTACATGTCGTTAAGCTGTGCCCTAGCTTAACGACATGTACACATATACTTCACATACTGAAACTATGTCCATGTGCTCTGGAAATACCTGTAAATGATGGCAAGATATTTGTGGATTTTTCTTGGATAATGTATGTAATAATGAATGTTCTACTTTTTTACTGTTCAATGCAATACATTAATACTTTTATCCCTTAAAACATGTACTATAAGACAAGCAAACACATGATAATTTATTAAAACTGTGAGATTGGGCTTAAATTACTTAATGTATAAGTTTTAATAAAATGTATTTAATGTGAAGTTCATTTGCTTTTATATATGTGTTCCATTTGAAATATTGCTGTTGATTAAATTGTTAACTGAAAATTAAACATTTAACTATTTACTGTAACACATTTACTTAAATAAAAAGGAATAATACATTGTAAAAAAAAAAGCAAAGTATTATGATTAGCAGTCTTGCATTAAAAATGCTCGATGTGCAGAAATTGCCTCCTTCAAAGTATTATACATCATTTTATACTAGGTTACATATTACATTATTATTAGTGATGCATTCATGTAGTAGAACTAATTGGCCACTCCTTTAAATACTGTTGTGATCAACACATGTTTTGGTTGAAAGCAAGCTGCCAGGCCATAAATGTAGTGCAATATAACAAACATGACATACTGAGGTAAAGTAAAACGTAAAATAGGATAAAATTGTACCTTCCAACCTAAACCTAAAGAAGAAAAAAACAAGACACAGTAAAGGTTGATTTAAATTATTTTGTATATTTAGAAAAACTCTGAAAAGGAACATTTTGTCCAAGCACCAAACCAAGATACACGAGAGCTAACACATTTTACTCTTCACATCTTCACATAAAATATTTCATATAATAAATAACAACACAATCTTATTGCAATACAAACAGTTCTTGTCTAACTTTTTACAAAATCAGAAGGTAAGTCTTGACTCCCGTTGTTTCATCTCCTCTACTTCCTCCAAACTGAGGTCATTGTTTCTCAACCTGCAGAGTAAATACAAAGAGACACAAATCGATAAATGACACAGCCAGTTGCACAACCAGTGCAAAGGCACAACCAGTTTGAAAATGGAAATGAAGCTTAAAATCAAAATATCAAACATTGAGCCAAGTAGGATTCAGTATCATCAACCACATATTTTCTTAATAAGTAGAACCAGTATGCCTTAGCCTTAATCCAGAATGTAAACAACCACCAGGCATGCATGAGTTAAACCACAGAATAAACATTACGCACCACACTGATTTCACATGGGTGTTGTGTTGCATCGCTTGAATCAGACGTTCCACTCCTGATCTGGTTATGTGGTTCTCTGTCAACCTTTTGAAACAGGAGGGCGGAGAAAGGGTGGATCAATGTAATTATTACTGTACTAATGGCACAATTAATATTGTGTGGATAAAAATGTCATTGTATTGTCAACACATGTATAACTTGTCTAACATAACACTTACCACAGCTCTTCCAGTGACGTACAGTTCTTGATGATGTTGGAGAGGGCACATGCTCCGGCACTCCCCACTCCATTGTCTACCAGGCTGTCATTACATTAAATTAGAGTTAGAATCAGAAGTACTCCACAGCTGCAGGAACACGTACTGTTTAAAACATGCTATATTTGAAATATTTTCAGACTTTTAACTTGCTGTTAGACAGCCCTTTCCGAAAGGGAATAGAGCCGTTATCTGTGCTACTTTAAAGCCACCAGACTCCATTAACAAAAAATATACCTTGCAGAACATGAGGGTTACTGGTCTACCGCTGCCTTGTTATTGAGTGAATTTGGTGGTCCAGAATAGCTCTTCAAGACTCTATTGTCACAGAATAACACAAAGTCACTTATCGATGAAGTCAGCGTTAGACCAGCAACTTCTGTGTTCTGCGAGGTCAAATTGATGTTGTTGTCACTGGAGTTTGGTTGCTTTAAATAGAGCAAGATAATGGATCGTTGATAATGGACTTTTTTTTTAGGTGGGCTTTGTTTTATGTGGCTGCTTCAACAAAAGTACATTGCTCTGCTTTTGTGTTATTACTCCTTTTTGTTTCTGAACATCACCTACTGTAGATTATACACTAACTCTGGATAGGTACCTTATACCAGCCCATATCAAACCATCCAAACTACCCCTTTAAATGAACCAAAGGTAGCGTTATTCAAAGCAAATGTTACCTGAGCCACACCAAGGTTTTGCTGTTCTCTAGGGCAGTGGCAAGGGCTTCTGCTCCTACATCTCCTATCTTGTTGCCCCATAGCCTGGGGATATAAGGATTGTAGGTAAGTTCATAGAAATATCCCACCAATGAGATGCATTCACTTGTTCAGGAGGACTTTTACCCTAAATACTGTAGTGAGTGGTTGCATTTCAGTCCCTCTGCCAGCTGCTTTGCTCCTTTTTCTGTTAGATTATTGTTGCCTAGCCTGGAAAAAAATAGAGAAGTTCATTTTCTATCCATTTTACAGTACATGTACTGTATGTGGTATTATAGTTACATTTAGTGTCACAGTTAGTGTGTATGTGCTGACCTCAGAGAAACAAAGTTCTGCTTTATTGTCAGAAAGCGAGAAAAGTGCTGTGTGCATGCATCGGTTAGATTGTTGTTGAAGAGCCTACAGACATACAAAAGGTCATGAAATGTTATTGTTCAAACATCACTTGTGATTTCCTGATCATCTTGACATCACTTACGCAATTTTCTTGAAGTTTTCACACTGGATAGTTTTAGCAAGTAGTTTGCGGATCCCCTCGTCTGTGATGTTATTATTTCTGAGGCTGAAAATTGAAGTATATAGGAAACTTGAGTAGTGGTGGAAGAAGTATTTAGATATTTACCGTAACTTAAGTAAATGTAGTAATATCATCTTGTCGAAATACCAAAAGTCCTGCATTCAAATTGAAAGTTAAAATGTTTTGGCACCAACCTAAAGTAAAAGTGCTAAGTATTCTGAACGGTCAAATAAAAATATATATATTCAATTAGGATATCATATTTGATGCAATAACGACTATGTTAATTTCATATTGCGGCTGGTAGAGATGAGGTTTATTTCTTACTAATTATAGTGCACACTGAATAATTAACTTAATATTGTATTAATATATGATTCTACAGAAACACTACTAACTCAATGTATTAAATCTATGTGTGGGCATACAAATGTACATTATTTTCTTCTGAGATTTAGTGGAGTTGAATTATATAGTAGCATAAAAAAGGTAAATGTACGTAGTGACTTTCTATCATTTCACTTGAACATGACATGTATTCTTTCCTTTAAATAATGCTTTTGTGGAAGCTTTGTTCACAAAAATGTACAAATGGAAGTAAAAATCTTGTCATACTCACTATAGGGAATTGCAGATGTGCATGCAGGGGAGGAGCTGCTCCACTCCGACGTCGCCCACAGAGTTGTTGTCCAGCTGCAGGCCGACAGGATTCCTTAAATGCTGCAGCACATAGGCTAGAGCCGTGCACTCTACAGGACCAATGTTACAGTAGGTCAGTTTCAGGTGGTCCACCTCCAGCTTACTCATGGCGTCTTTAGCAACCCTGTCCTCCTGCATCTCATAGATGCATTTGATAAGCCAGACGAAGCCTGGCATTGCATGCATGCTCTTCTTCTCCCCCTCTACGGACTGAGGGATGGACTTAAAGTGTTTCTGCATGCCTTTGGATAAGCATTTCACCACCTGTCTGACCCTCTTCTCCATCACAGCGCTGGGGCAGCAGTGGAGCCACAGGTTTCGATGGCGCTGTGACAGAAGTCCAGACACAAAGGTGGCTGTGATTTGCCAATTTGGCGTTTCAGCGGCTGTAGTTTCCTCCCCTGAAGGCCGCTGTTGTTGGTCAGTAGAAGGCAAGCAGGCGATGAAGCATCTGCTGCTCTGACCTGCCTCCTTCATTTTCTGCGTCTCAAAGAGCTTAGGGATAGTTGAGCGGTCAGTGTTATCCGACAACACGATGTACAAAGCTGCAAAGAAACATTGCATAGTCAAGTGAAGGAATTCATAACCTTTAGCGTGGGTGGATATATCTTTACTCTGAATGAGAAAACCCATGCAGATGTCCTTCTCAGTCACACCACATGTCTCCAAGTCTGTGCCTGAGAAGATGTAACAGGTTGCTCCTATCCCATCAAAGGCAAGCTTCCCAAGATGCAACACAGTTTGCAGATGCTGCTGAAGCCAACATAGCCCTGTAGTGTTCTTCAGGGAGCTTTTGTGCTGGAAAAAGTGCTGCAGGATCATTAGGTAAACATCTGTGATTGTTTGTAGGCTGCCCTCTCCGCAGCCTAACAACTCTTTATGGCACTGTGAGACGATCCAGCACAGGACTGGACTATGACACAGTCCGAGTAACGCAGTGTTTGTCCGCAAGGACTCCAAAACCTTAGCAGCCACATGGGCGTCGCTGTGATGCTTCCTCACAAAACAGTCAATCCCACTTGGGGAAAAGCCTTTGAGGAGGACCTCTTTGCAGAGATGTTTCTTGAACAAAGGGCCCACCGCCTCTGGGCGACTGGTCACCACTTTCCTCACACCCTTCATTAGGGAACCCTGGATTAAGTTGAAGAGTAGGATGTGAACAGGAGCACGCTGGGTGGGGCAGCAGAGCCTGTGCTCATCTGAAAAGCTCTGCTTCAGCTCATCCAGGCCATCGAAGGTGAAGAGGATGAGATGTGGGTGGTCCAGGATGAACTGGAAGATCTCCTCCTGCTGTCTGTCCGGCCAGCAGCAGTGCTGAAACAGCAGCTCCTGTAGAGAGAGCTCCCTTTGCTCGGAGTTCAACCTGCGACAGCTGAACGGGAACAGAAGGAGGAAGTCCTGCAGCGCTGCCCCCCGAGCCCAAAGCAGGTGCAGCCTCTGGAGTAAAGTGCTCTTTCCTCCGCCCGCTTCCCCCGACACCAGCACCGTGTCCGCCTCCTTGTTTTCTGTACCCACTGCACCCACTATGTCCTCCAGGCCCAAAGGTCCATGGACATCCACACAGTTATGAGCGAGTTCCAGCTGGCCGTCAGTGTAGATGTCGTCCAGAGACATGTGGCTGGTCCCTCCATAAGTACTGAGGAAGCAGGACTGAGCGGAGATTGAGCTGCTGAGCTTCTTCTGATACTTTAACACCTCTGTGACAGAAAGCACACACATAACATCAATTAAGTACATAAAGCATTGCAAAATGATAAGGTTTTCTTTATTTTCGGATGTGTAATTACTAGGTAGATCATTTGTTTATATATAATTTGTAAGTCAATCATATTTTTGATGATCTATTTGACACTGCTTAAGTTTGTACAGTATAATCATTCTCATGTTTCATTTCATCATTATTATTATTATTATTATTATTTTGTATTATTGTTTAACAGGTCTGTATATCTGTGTCTAGTGTTAAATGCTAACTTTTAATGTGCTAAACAGTTATCTTTTCACATATTATGTTTCAACCCGGTTCTATTTTGGGAACTTTGACCACTTCCCTATATTTAAAGGACCTCTGTATATTTTGTAGATTTCTTACAAATCCCCCTCAAGAACAGGGACGCACATCTGCTATATTTAGCTCGCATGGAATCTCCTTTTACAGTAATCTTTAAATATATAATTAAATTCAGTTTATTCACAAAGTTAGTGTTCAATCATAAGAAAGCATTGAGTTGTTTAAAAGGGGAAAACCAAACTTGAGATTAGGGGCCCTCACACTTAATAAAAAGTATTTAAAATATATTTTACTCACACTTTAAGAATTTGGGAGAGTACATGTATTCTAAAGAAACATTTACAAGCTACAAAACTAAATACCATGATAACTAAACTAACCCTTAGGCTACTACTAAATGGCCCCAACACATTTATTCCATTAGTTTCAATATTGGTTTGAAATAGGTAAGACATAGGCTACTGAACAGATGGTAATATGAGAAAGGGAAAATAATGGTACTTGAAAATGACCAAGGGCGTTATCTTTGTGTTTAGTTTGTTGGTTTGTTTGTCTGAGTAAAACTAAAACTACACACTTGCCTTTAGGTATAACAGTTTTCAGCATGATTATAACAATGGCATACCTTTGGGAGGAGTCAATTTCTCCTGGTTCAGTGGAGATACAGGTTCCTGTTTGTGCTGAATGAACTGTAGTACAACCTTTGCTGCAGATTCTCCTTTTGATCTGACATGGTCCAGCAAACGCCTCGCCTGAATGACATATAAGTGGTATCATTAATAAAATAATACTTTAACAATTTGGCGGGGAAAACAAGTAGGCTATCAGCTTACAGTACTTGTTAGATAAAAAGGTTGAAATCTCTGCTATGTTAGCAACTATGTAAGCTAAGCTAAGTGTAAAGCTAGCACAAGCAGACAGACAGCTTAGCTTAGCATAAATACTGCAAACAGGGCGAAACAGCTAGCATGGGGCAGTTCAAAGGTACAAGATGGCACCTCATTCACTAATTTACATGCAATATCTGAGCGTAAAAAGACACATTACCTGGTGCTATTGCTGGTAAGTGTGGTTACATTGTGGTTGTCAAGAACTATGTTTGCTGTTTTCCCACTTTCCTATGCTTTTTGTGTTATGCTAAGCTAACAGGTTGCTGGTGTTAGCTTAATATTTACTGACATGAGAGTGGAATTAATCTTCTTAAGCGCTTCAAAATGTAACTATTACGTACTGTAAAATGAGCACAAAGGCATTTCATTAAAGTAGCCTATAACATAGCCTACTGTATACTCTAAGCATAAGACTGCATTGCTGAGCAGTGTTTGGGTGAAATCAGGATATCTGGGACAAAAAATGCTTTTTCATGTTTAAAAATGAACAACCAAACATGTGATTGCATTTCTACAAATGTCCTTTACAATAAGCCATCATTTTGATTTGTCTGAGAAACATTTTTAAAACCTCTTTGCAATGTAGCCTAAGCCATGTGGCATCTTGAAGAGTGCAGCTAAGGGCATAACAGCAAAACTGGTTGTACCATGTTTTGACTCATACTAAATATTTTCCCAATACACTAACTCGAAGATATGGGACTCTCCCATTTTACCTGAAAACGTCAGAGTAAGGTAGGGATAATTGATGCGTTTGAACGTCCAAAGTTTCTCTTCTAAGTATTGTACCTGGCAACATTTTTGTTTTTAGAAACTGTAGCAGAGATCCATAAGTTATAGCCTACAAGTAAAACATTAAGGGAAGTGTTCTACATTTGTGTTAGTTTTCTAGAAAATCTACAGCTAAAAAGCATCTCAGACTTTACCCACCGTCAACCAGACGGATTCAGTTCCTTTATAAGGTCCCACTTTGCCATTGAAAAGGGATGCACTTACTTTTTCCATTTGATGCCACTTTATACTTTTACTCCACTACATTTATTTAATAACCTAAGTTACTTTGAAGATTCAGATTTAGATTTTATCAGTGAAGATTCATTTAATTGATCCCTGTGTGAAATGCACAAGCTGCAACACACATTAATGCAGCTATAATTATGATGTATATTATACTAAAATGGGCCATGCCAAATTTACTTTACGTATATGTTGATACTATAACTTTTCTTCTTATAGAAATATTTTAAAAACAGGATATTTTCTATAAAGTATTTCTAGGTTTTGCGACTAAAGTCAGAGATCTAACTACTTCCCCCCCAAAATCCAGACAATTGAACAGGTACAGAAAAAAAAAAGGAAGTTTCCAAGGCAACAGTTTAAAAATTGGTACACAATGTACCTGCTGACAGGGAGTGTGGATAGGAAGCTGCACTTCACAGCAGTCTGCTGAAGTGAAGTGTCCGGATGTGACAAGATCTTCTAAAGCACCATCAATGCATCCTTGAAGCTTTTCTACCAGGCTCGGTCTTTGAGTCAGAAGAGTCTCAGTACACGTGCTATGGTGTTCTTCTTTTTCCTCCAGAGTGGAAGAGCATCCTGAAGATGAGGTGCCAACTCCCTTTGCATCAGGCAGGACTCTTTTAAAAGCAGCAAAGAAGAGTCCACATGTGTCCTCTCCCTTTGTGTAAACCAGATCCAGCAGCTTTCTGGCATTGCAGTGCAGCGCCCTACCTGAGACCTGTATGTTCTGGTAGTCCTCCCATGTGAGTTCCCCTTGAGACAGCAGTATATCCAACACCTGCTCCAGATGTTCTGCTGACCCGCTGCTGCACAGTGCATTCAGGATCTCTGTGCGTTGTCTCAGCACAAGCTCCTGGACAAACATGCTTTTTGCATGTCAGCGTCCATACTCAATGACATCTATTGTGAACTGCTTCCTGTATCACAACATGGAAACACGCCCACATGTCATCATGCTGCTATTGTACTTGTCATCACGAGTGTGAATAAGACAGCCTGGGATCGGTTTGTTCTCATTAACATTCATACACACTGATTTTGTTAGATGATAAACACTTGTTGAAAAAACATGCAACACACAGTAACTAGCAACAGTAGACATTGTTATATTAAAACTCACGTAAGAGTCTTCACGACAGAGAGCTTTCTTTCTTCCCCTCCGTCTGTATTTTGGGCAGAGCTTCTTCCTCATTCCAAGCTGAAAATGAAACTATTTCTGCAAGTGAGTCCCTTCTGTAAAATGGAAAATAAATCTTGCCAGGAAATTTAAAAAACGTCAACACAGTTCCTGAGATGCAGAGGTTAAAGAAGATATTTGACTTCAACAGAATTAGCAACACTACAGTCAAAAAACTGTGTTACAAGACCTGCATTAGAAATAAAACTATACTAAAAGTACAGCAGTTTTGGCATCAAAATATAGTTACGGTACCACAAGTGAAAGCACTTATTATGCAGTATTGACCATTTCAGAATCATACATATTAAAGTACTGTTTGTATAAGCATCCATTAATGTGTAAAAACCACTGGTAAAGGTAATTGTATTCACTTTATGTACAGCTCCTAAATATCTTAACCTATATTCATATTTATTTTTAGCCAATAATCTGAATCTGTAAAATATCTATGATAAAGCCGTCAGGCAAATGGATTGGATGTAATTACCTATATAATAAGAGGTATAACCTACCTTATAATATATGATTATGTATTACTTGATTCATATTTTGTGCAAAGTAGCTGGTAACTAAAGCTATAAAATATATGTAGTGAATTAAAAAGGACAACATTTGCTCTAAAAATGTAGTGAAGTAAAGTATAAAGTAGCATATAGTGAAAATACAAGTACCTGAAGTGTGTACAGTACTGCATTAAATGTACTTCAAACACCGGTGAGATTTGATGATATTTTCACATCCTCTTGCATGAGGTTTGGAAGAGTACTGCTTAACCCTGTAAGGCCCACTGTTGCAATTTTACAACATTACTTTAAGCTATCCTAAAAAAGTCAGTAAATGTTTTGTTTTTTAAAGACTACATTTACATAGTCAAAAGGTCCTTTTGTTCAGCCTCACAATGCTATTGGGAAGTAAATGTGTTTATAGGTCCTGCGCTCTGGCCATACACTCACACAACTTCCGAATATTCAAACGAGCAACATCTCTTTGTTTTATTGGACTGGATTTGTCAGATTCAATTAATTGAATAAATTAATACATTATTTCTGATAAAAGTATGTGAAATTATATCTGTAGCAATATTTTAAACTCTACTTGTATCTTATCAGTTAATTAGTTACAACAATTCATTTAACTCTTCTCTGGTTCTGGCAGAAACAGTTCTTTCTGAAATGTGTTGGGACTTGGGACACTTGGATGTATCCCTTTTTGTATGATAATTAGCCTGTTATCATTAGCCAGACAGCATTGTGTGACTTGTTGAACTGGTTTACCCGCATGTATGGGTGTGGGCATTTCTTTTATTATCCTGTTAAGCCCTGAGCCTGTTTTTCAGGTCTCAGGCTCGAAAATGACATTCCCAGAACAAATGACTATATCTTCACTTCTAAAAGGGGTACATTAATAATCTTTTTTCTCAAAGCAATGATAAACCTGTGAGTTGGATGTAGAAAAGTCAGAATCAATATAGATTTTTTTTATTTTAAAGTAAATTCAGATTGAACATAGTAAAAAAAATGTAAATGATAGTGTCCGTCCAAAAGAAAAACATTACTTATAGTGAAAACCACCCTTGAATGATGGGATAGTAGACTAAAAGCTTTAGGAATTCAAACTATAACATATAATAAGTACCCTGTATCAAGATTGATGCAAAACAAGTGATATTTGATCTTTTTAGAGAGGTTTAGCAACAAAAAACCCACCTCTGGGGTCATTTGGGTGGAAATGGGTGTATTTGCCGTTTCTCTGGAACCCATTGGTCGATTTTGATGATTGACATCTCTTTTGAACCGTTAGATTTTGATCAGAAAACAACAAAGGTAAGACTTATTGCCGTGTTGGCTACCTAATGCTAAGTGGTCTGATGTCTTTGTTAGCTTCTCATGTCGCGAGTTCGGATCGGTCAGTAATGATACAAATACCTATCGAATCTGTGCAATCTCAGCTTGCTAATCGATATCTTGTTTGTGCAGATACGATAAGTAATAAGGGTATTTTAACGTGAGTTCTGTGCTAAGTGTGTTAGCATTTTTTCGCTCAGGGCTAATTCAGAGCCTTTATGTTATTACCCTTATGTTTCGTTTTGCTAAAAATGGTTAATATTATCTGATAGCTGAGTTTCTTCCCGTTAAGTGGGTATGACACATTAATAGGTTTTTAAATGTTAAAAAGCCCTCAGACGCTGTTTCTTGCAGATGTTGCGATTTTTTCCCCACCCACGGGGGAATGGGGCTTAACAGGTTATGATAAGGCTAAGCCAGGTAGTATTGTGTGACTCAAGTGTACAATGTAAATAGGATTCAGATACTTGTTGCATCGGGACACCTGGAAGGGGGTGGTGCATGCATTCCTTTTAGTATGATAGGCTAAGCCAGATAGAATGAACACTTGTCCCACCCATCTATTCCTTCAGGTAATCTATTACAATATAATAAGCATATGTATTATTGATACATATTTATTAATTACTTTTTCCATTTCAGAATGCCACCAGCAAAGAGAGGTCCTCGTTTCAGTGTGCAAGATGTGATTGCTGCCATCTAAAACGGAGAAAGTGAGTTTGTGATGGAATCAGAGGACAGTGACACTGATATGAGTGAAGACGAAGCAGATGAAGATGCCTGTGGCCACATGGACAAGGAAAACCAACAACCCAATGACCCCCCAGTCAGTGATTATGTGGACATCAAGCCCCAACAACATAAACCCACCAAGCCCCGTGACAGGTATCGCTGGCTGAAAAAAGATTTCATCAGTCCCAATACTGACTTTTCTGGTCCAGATACCACAGAGGATGTCATTTACCTCCATACACCACTGGAGTACTTCCAGAAGTTTGTGTTAGAAGACATGATTCAGGCTTTGGTAACCAACACAAACGAGTACAGCTTTCAAAAGAATGGAACATCCATCAACACAAATACAAAGGAAATTGAGAAACTGATTGGCATGTACCTGAAGATGGGCCTAGTACAAATGGCAGGAGTCCGTATGTATTGGGAGACAGACACACGGTACCCCCCTGTTTCTGATGTGATGGCACGCAACAGATTTCAATATCTGTTGACATCATTACATTTTGTAAACAACTTGACAGTGTCAGCGATGGAAAAGAAAGACAAACTCTGGAAACTCAGACCCTGGCTTGATACATTCAGAGAGAAATGCCTGCAGGTGGTAGTACCAGAAGAACACAACTCTGTGGATGAGATGATGATTCCTTTCAAGGGGAAATTCAGCAGCATCAAGGAATACATGCGAGGCAAGCCACACCCATGGACCCAACCTTGAAGAGGAGAAGAGCTTGAAGAAAAAAGGGAGAGGAAGCTTTGACATCCGAGTGGAGACCAACCACAACATCTGTGCTGTCAAATGGTATGACAGCAGAGCGGTCACACTTGTCTCATCCTTTGCTGGACCAGACCCTGTGCAGAACATTCAACGCTGGGACAAAGCCAACAACACCTACGTAGAAGTTGAGAGGCCTTCCATTGTGGCTACGTACAACAAGTACATGGGAGGTGTGGATTTGTTGTACTCGTTTACGGCCAAATATAAGTTCCCCATGAAGTCCCGACGCTGGTACGTGTACATCTTCTGGCACACCCTCATCCTTGCTGTGATCAACGCCTGGCTCCTCTACAAGCGGGACTGCAGAGCTCTAAAGATGGCAAAGCAGGAGATCCTGAACAGGAGAGAGTTTCAGGCAGATCTAGCATCCTCTCTCATCCTGGTAAGAATGTATTTCTGCTATTTGCCGTTTGTAATATTTTTTTATATTTCACTGTAATATTTTTGACTTGTATCCTAATGTATTTTTGACATGTATCTTGATTGATTCTGTTCTAATCAGGTGAACACAACTCCTCTGAAAACACCCAAGAGAGGACGACCATCTTCAGGCAACGGGAGCCCAGCAGCGACAGTGACATCAAGGAGTCCGTTGAATGCTCAGAAGAGACCATCCTCAGGTGATGGGAGTCCACCAAACGGGGCCCCATCCAAGAGATCACAACCTCCACTGGATGTACGCAAGGACCTAGTGGCACATTTTCCAGTGAAGACAAAGAGAGGACGCTGCAGACACTGCAGTAAAGGGTACACAAACACACAATGCACCAAGTGTGACGCCCGTCTCTGCTTTTCTGACGAGAGGAACTGTTTTTGGGACTACCATTGTATTCATATTTAATAAATGACTATTCATAAAAAATATGACTGATGTGTGATTATTATTCATGCATGCTATATACTGATGTAGGGCTAAGTAAGCAATCAATCCTGCAAATCAACCCTTAGTTGTTCAATATATTTATTCAGACACTGTGAGTAGAATTACAGGAATTCTGCTCCCACCTAAGCCTAACGTTGCAATATTACAACATTTCCCTAAAAACTTACCAAAACGTAAAAAATGTGAAAACTCTTTCATTTCTGCTCCAGAGGCACCCTACAACAACATCTGAAAGGTCAACAAAATAAATTCTAATGTTTTTCTATTTTTGGGCTTTACAGGGTTAACAAAAAAAGGGAATTACATATTTTTTAAAGCTGAAGCTCTGGCCCTATTGTGGTTCTTTTGAGGCAATTACGTTAAAGCGACAGAAATAAACAGAAGGGGAAAACTGCAGGTCCAGGTTGAAGACCCTTACAGATTGCAATTTGCTCAAGCAACCACTAGGTGGAACTATTGCATAGATAAACCTGGTGAGTTCGAGAGGACGTTTAACTTTCTTCCCTTTTTGATAGATATCTTTATTCCTCTTAAATATGAATGGCGTGAATTAACATCCATTAACTTTATTCACTTAAAGTTCATTATGCAGCATAACCAAATCATCTGTGTGAATATTTGCAACAAGATTCATTTTTAATTTGAGGTAAATCAAAATTAGCTTTGGCCAAGTGAGTGAACACGTTTTGACATTCCAGTGGCTTTTTGGAAAATCTATAATGAAACCATCTTCCCCCGGGATGAAAAAAAGTATTATCAATTCAAAGCCTA